TTATGAAAGTGAACCGAAACCATAGTCCCCTGAACATCCATGTCAATAGTAATCAACTGAAACAGATGAAGGAGTTTAAATATCTTGGCAACACTTTTTCTGAAAACGGGTCCATAGACAGAGAAATAGAAAACATGCCAACTCAAAAAGCCAACGCTGTCACCCACCAGCTCACACCCATCCTATTTCATCCAAACATCTCTATGGACACAAAGAGACAGATTATCACCTCAATATTCGTACCAACATTATGTTATATCATAGCCAGACCTGGACTTTAAGCAAAACCCATGAAAGCAAAATCACGACATGCGAAATGAAATGTCACTGCAAAACCCTTAACATCACTAGACGAGCCAGGCAGAGAAATGAAGACCTAACTTCTAAGAGCAGCTATCGGCACTGAGTCCTGCCTGCGGTAATAGAAAGACAGACGTCACAGAGGATGAAATGTTTTGGACACCTGTTACGCATGTCACCTGACCAGCCAGCCTCAAGAGCCTACAACATCAAGCACTCAGGCTATAAAGGAAGAGGAAGGCCACGCTAAAGGTGGATCGAAGGTGTCAATGAAACCCTAAGGAAACATAACACGACAACTGAAAGAGCTGCGGAGCTGGCCTACCATAGAAAGCTGTAGCTCCCCTCGACGCTTAACAGCAACAGAGGATGAAAAATGAAAGAGAAAAAAAAAGAGAGAACATCATTTGTGCACTGGTATACTGTTGAGATGCACGGAGACAAAAACGAACCTGAATGAAAAAGATGCAGTAATAGAATTTAGAGGGTTTGCCTACTGAAAGTCAAATGCAGCGAGGCGACTTGATCAAAGCCTCAACATAATGAATATATCTGGATCCACTGAATGACATAGGTCTAATTGGAGTTTAACAAGTTAGCTCTCACTGAAATTCTTAGGCGTTTGTAAGCCTTGTGGGATGATCCAGTTTTAGACCCAACTATTACTTATCCTAACCCTGACCCCGCCCTTCACTCTTAGCTGATCCCAACTCTGAACCCACCCCATACGAGTAGCTCACATAAAGTATGATAAAGTTACAATCTATATCCAGTGCTCTTAGCCTACCCCCCCCCCCCCCAAAAAAAAAAAAAAAAAAAAAAAAACCAACAACAACAACAACAACAACAAAAAACCACAACAAAAACAAGCAAAAAACAAGCAAAAAAACAAACGAAAAACCCCCGAAAAACAAAACAAATAATCAAACCAAACAAAAAACAACAAAATAAAATAAAATAAATACATTTTCTAATTCTAAAAAAATGAATGAATAAAAAATAAAAAATGAAAAATATAAACTGAATTGCGGATCCAGCACAAAATAGCCCTAGAGACAAGAGGTGCAGCCCTATCTTTCTGAAAGTGCTGATTCTTTCTCCCTTCATTCTAATCTAACAAATTATCCCAGACTTCTCCAGAACTTTGGTAGGAGGGCTAAGTGTTTGTCAGGGTTTGCTGTAACAGGATGCCGAAGTTTATATTGAAAAAAAAAAAGCCCAATGCTGATTCCATGACAGCTCATCACTGCCCACACCGTGTCCTACTGATTATGCAGGCCGTTCTCTTACACTTCGACGGGTCTTTTTAATCACAGTAAACGTAGTTTTTGCTTTTCACATAGCCATTGGCGTAGAAATGAACCAGAGAACTAGAGCTATCGGATAAAGGGTCGTCCTGATTAAGCTTATGAAAGAACCAACGACACTAGTTCACTCTGACATTCCTGTTTGCTCCAGTGAGTCTTTTGTGAACCTTGAAAAGGGTTTTGGTCGTATTTAGCCTCATCCAAATCATTCTTTGTTATTAATTGTTTCAGAAATTCCTTGGGAATTCTATCCTCGAAACTATGAATTGAACAAGAAACAATTGAAATCACTGGTTCATACAAATAACTTCGTCTTACAATAGACAAAAAATTACATGGCAAAATCAGGTAAACAATATCGTTAAAAAGGTAAATTAGAGGATGTACTTTCTGAGGAAACATAGGTCCTTCCATCTGAATCATCCTTCAGATATTCTGCACCACCAGAATAGAAACTTTGATATATTTTGGTAACGCTTGCTATGGTAGCAATTTGGGAAGACAGCACATTATAAAAATAAATAAGTTGATCAGAAAGGCATAAAGAACAAGTGATAGAGACCTAAGTAACGTTCCAAAAAGACGGAAATGATGCTAAGTGACCCGCTGACATCAGAAATGCAACATTCAGTAAACCATATATACCAAGTTGTAAAAGTTTTGTCATACTTACCTTAAAAGTACAATAACTCATTTACTACTCTACAAAGCCAAGAGAAATTTGGTACTCCCGATTTTTATTCATTTTCTGCCGACATAACATAAACAGAATTGGCAAATGTCTTTCCTTATTCAAGGGAGATAATTTTATTCACATTGACTCTTGAAAAATCCAAATCAAAGTTTGTTCAATATGGCTATGGCGTGTGACCTCTTCCAGCTTGAATTACTGATACAAAACATATGTTCTTTGACTGAATTGAAGTCCTTATGTTTGTCTGAAGAATCCGCTGCCATTCCTTGAGAAGTGCAGCCTTCAGTTCCTGACCAGTTTGTACGGAGTGCGGCCTGTTTCTAATCCTCCAGCCAAGGTCATCTTACAGATGGTCTGATGGGTTATGGCTTGTGGATCTTGCAGGCCAGTCCAGAACAACAATTTGATGTGTTTGGAAGAAGTTTTTATTAATCGTAGCCATTTGTGGTCGGGTGTTGTTTTGTCTGCAGATTCCATCATCCGTGCCATGTAGCGTAGTCACCGTGACAAAGAATTTCGTCACAATAATGTTGTTATTTGAGGTTACTTTGAAAAGTAACTAAATGTATACGATAAAAAGCAGAGATTCAACCCCCTACCACCACATTTCAGCCACTTTCGTGTCTCTTGGGGGACGTTGGATTTGTGAAATTTCTATTCTCTTCTTTTAAACACTTTTTGTCTTCCTTCAATGCGACGAAGTAAAAACCAGAACCATTGCTGAAAAGAACACTTAACCAACGTGTTTGGTTTCATCAACAATGTTGTTGTGTCAAAATTGTGCGATTTCCTCTATGAAACAGGGTTAAAATGGCTCCATATAAAGGGCGATAATCACACAATCCACAATCTTATAAATGTCAAATAATGATTTTTCAAGACTGTTCGAAGTGCCTGGCAGTCTCTGCACTGAGTTGGAATGGGTTTTCATCATGGGTATTGACAATAACCCAATTCTGAAGTCGAGTTGTCGCCTTTGGTTGCCTACGTCTCGGCTCGTCTTGGACAGTTCCAGTGGTGTTAAAACGTTTGTTCAAGCGTTAGATCCGTCCCCGTAGGATTATGCGATTGTGCGGCCGAGTTTTTTTGCGTAATTCTGCAACGTTTGCATAATTTTGGATTCCCCGCGTTTTTTCACGTTTTTCCCTTTTTTTTCACAAAACAATTAATTAACGCCTCGCAGTGTGATTAAAGGGACGTAATCACCGTAATAGGTCTCATTTAAGTGAAAAACTGGTTATTTCCCTTGTAGAAGATCTTGGTTATGGGTTGTGATTTTGTTCCTTGAGCATGTTCAATTTTTCAATCCATTAAAAGTTGTTGTTCTCATGCCTGCTGGTGTTTCATGTTTGACAGGTGTCCCCGGTTTTAGTCATATATCAGCATCAGAGGTCCAGCTGTCCTTTTTTTTAAAAAAACATTTTTCTCACCTCTATACTCTATAGATCTACAGCTAGATCTACAGCTGAAAGTTACAGAGATTATATTTTGTTTTTGTTTTTTTTACTGATGTGTATTGTTTTCTTTTACAAATACACAACAAATTACTGATACTGATATGTTCTGTTTTCAATTTTCTGTACATAAAACATGAAAATCATGAAACTTCTTGTTGAAAAAGTGCAAATCATGTCGCGAATGGTGTTTACGGTAACTTGCATAATTTTTGCATAATTTTGCTTTTTTGGGGGCATAATTTGGCCTTCTAAATTTGCATAATTCTACGGGAACAGTTAGATGGTTCCTCTGCAAACATTTACGTGTCTTGCAACAGCAGAAAGCGCAATTAAAGAATTTAGCATACACACAGCCCCTTTATTTTCTGAATAAATCATTAAAAATATTTTGAAAACTGGAGAAAAAGGTACCCAACAGTTAAAAAGTAAAAAATTTTAGAGTGTGTAAGGTGTGTTTACACATTGTCTACGTGATTTAAAGCAAAATTTTTTTGTGTAGGAAGCGTTGATTTCAACATAGACCGAGAGAAATCAATACCAACGCTTTGTCCACGTACTACTTCCGGTTTAGGATTTCTTAGGTCTGCTCTGCACAAAAAGTCTCATAAGTCCCACAAGTAATACTTTTAATTTTTACTGCAATTCTTACGCTATACCGAAAATTATGGTAATATTATGGGTGTGGCAACTTTTTGCAACTCGGTATATTTCCGAAAAAGCATAAACAGAGTGAAAGAGAAATTCATTCATGCAAGCTGCAGTGAGGTTACTGAACACAAACTGCTACAAATGAGAGAGAGAGAGAGAGAGAGAGAGAGAGAGAGAGAGAGAGAGAGAGAGAGAGAGAGAGAGAGAGAGAGAGATGTTTTACGGAGCGGGTTGTTTCAGCACGAGAAACATGTATTTACTAATGTCCTGTCTTGTTCTGCGTATGCGTGAGTGCACCTAAAATTTGTAACACCCACTGCCTTTGTAAACGACCACGACAAATGTCTCCCTGCGAGATGAATAAAGATTGTCATTGTTACTGTCACGAACCGTATTAATTTCTTGGGTGCTTCGAACACAGAATCGTTAACCTTTTACTTTTCAAGAGCGTGTTGTTGCTCAGTGAGTTGCTGGGGATTTAGAAGTCGAGCTCTTCTTTTTTTATGAACCCAAACCTCTCAAAGCATGCAGACCATTTCCAGATGGATCTTTCGTTCGAAATGTTGGGTTTTTTGGTTGTTTATTTCTTTATTTCTTTATTCATTTATTATTATTTTTTTAATTTTATATTTTGTCGGGGGGTGGGGGGTTACTGACATCTATCCTGCATTTCCGAGCAAATAAAGCACGGGTCTTTTGGGCGCGATTTCATTTGGTGATACATCTTCACAGTAAAAGTATACTGTATAGAGATGAAATACTTTCCCATTTTTCTTCGTTTGCAACAGCAATAGAAATTAAATACAAAAAATATAAACCAGATCTAGGTTTTAGTTTATCTTAATGGGTTTTTTGTTGTTGTTAATAAAATTGGAAAGTTTGTTACAATTCTTTGGGCTAACCTTTTATCTGGTCAGCTGGAAAATACCACTCAATTAATAACTACATTTTCCCTTGTCCAGAATTTATTTTTGTTATCAGGTTAAATCTGATTATTGCAAACATCGAAAGATAAAGACCTTGTAAATAAATTGAACAATATTTTCAACACGTATAGCACCATGAAGTCTGTTATCAATAGCTCATAAGGACAAATTTTGGATGACGTGCTAATCTTGCCTTAAAAGGGGACGAAAAAGCATGTATATGTCCTATCTTTTAAAAAATCAAATACCGTCATTCTGAGTGACAGCATCCTTGATTGATCGTTGTCTTTACAAGCCTCGGTTTGGTTGTGCCACAGCTATCAGAATCTTCCCTTTAAAAAATAGTATGTTAAAAAATGTAATAGTCTCTTTGTTTTGACCACGAGAGTCATTATCTAAACAGCCGCTGTGGAGGTGTTTGTTAACAAGGTCAGCCATATGCAGATACGAGCAGTGTCAGTAAAATACGTGATAAGCGACGTACGTAAAGTCCCTGTAATTCAGCAATTGACTGTATATCTATTTAGACATGTATTTTTGTTAACCTACGGATCGCATTTTGTATATTACATTATGTATTTGTATGTACTCAAAATGATGTATGCGTGTGAGTGTGTGTGTGTTATTGACCCGCTATTGACCCGCTATTGACCCGCCAATTGAGTTTTCCTCGCAATATTTCTTGGTGGTCGAATGCACGCTACATTATCAACAAACAACAGAAATGAACGAAACAAAAAAAAAGAAAAATAAACAGACTGACCTATTCTTAACGAGCCAGTAATCTTTCGCACCTAGGTTGCCGTATCCAACAACCAAAACAGCATGGTCCAAATTGGTAGAGCTGCACATAGGCTCGTCATACACACCACCGCTGTAAAATGCAAAGCCACCTTCACTTGCGTCAATAGCAGCACTAATGGGACCCACCTTGCGAAAAGATATAACAGTAATATTAACTCAGGTACTTTTTTACTGTGCCAATATGTCGTTTTATTTATTTCAGTCTGCGGTAAACAAAAAACCGCTACGTGGGATTAGAAAAACGTTAAAATGAAAGTACATTTCTTAAATAAAATATACAGTGGCGTCTAAAAGAAACTTTAAAATGTATTCACAATGCTACCATGTTCAAGCCTTGCACTACCTACTCATGCAGAATGCTATTTTAAAACTAAATACATTTTGCGAAATCTGTCACATTAATATTTTAACTGCTATAAGAAACGCCCAAGATACAGCCACTCAATTTTAACGTTTAAATCAGTCTAGGCAAAGTGTGAAAACAAAGATATGAAGGCTAAAAGTGTGTTTTCGCCTGTATTGGAGTGTATCAACATTGGTGGAAAGGACATGTATTGAATATCAAAGTATTCGAGAATATTATTGTCTCTGCAATTAAAAAATATCTTATTACGGCAGCTTCAAACAGACTGGAAAACAGGGCAGTATAAAAACTTGGACTTAAACAATAAATGTTCTCATTGTTACATAATATTGTGTTCAGGGGCCACTGGTTTCGTAGAGAGCACGAACACTTTTTGAGCTTGGACTGCGTTAACTAGATTTTGGACATAATCATGTGTCAATGAGAAACAGAGGCCACGAAACTTCCATGGTTTTGGATGGTCTGGCTGGAATGAACAAAACCCCACTCGTGAAAATCGCCAATAGGCTTTGCGAGAAGACTTCATTGTACAAGTACAGAAAAAAATATTATAAATCTTATCCTTCATTTCGTCATGGTGTTATTCAAATAGGCGTCTTTATGCATAACAAAACACCCTTGATATAGCAGATGAAAAAACACGATTTTGATCCTAATCTTTATTTAGACGCTTTGTTTGCAGTTCTGTGACATTTGGGTAAAAACGACAGACAATTATGTCCACAATATGACCCAGTTCATACTCAAAGGACCTGTGCTCAATAAGAAGTCATTGGCTCCTATACAGAGGTACTAATACGCGCATTTGATGTAAAGTCCCAGTTTTGCGTGGTATTAGTGACGACTCTGTCTTCCAATCTTTTTGAAACTATCATAATAAAATATTTTGTGATGCCCGAGACAAAAGTCTCTATTCATTTTATATGCAATGCACGTCCATTTTACAAATATTGATGCACCCCAATACACACGCAAACATACTTTCTTTGATTTCACACTATTTTTTAGGATCGTTAGACCCATACCATTTTTTTCACACAATTTTGCCAATCTTGGGGGGGGGGGGGGGGGGGGGGGGAGAGGGATAATTTTGGATAACAATATTCTCGGACTATGAAGTATTAATGCTGATGATTCAGAATTCATTAACTTTAATTAAATTGGCATGCTGCATGAGTTAGTAATACAAGGGTTTATTCCAAGATGGTTAGGTGAATACATTTTCAAGTTTCCTTTGGACGCGCATTGTGTAATTTTATGTGAAAATTGTTCAGTTTTGACAAGACACAACAGTGCACATTGAAGAAAAGTGAAAAACATACCAAAAATCGTGATCAACAAATGTGGATAAATTTTTCGGATTTGCTGAATCAAGATAGGCCTACATACTATGCTAATATTGCTAGCCGTACTGTCAACTGCGTTCTTTGCAAGTTGGAATCAAGCTGATTGCACACAGTAACAGCTGTGAGAGGTAGAGCGACGGTAGACAACAAGTGGGAAAGAGAGACATAAGAGAGAGAGAGAAAGAGAGAGAGAGAGAGAGAGAGAGAGAGAGAGAGAGAGAGAGAGAGAGAGAGAGAGAGATCGAATGGTTGAAAAGGTAGAGAGAGACAGACTCAGAGAAGTGTGTTTAAGATGTGTTGCAAGTACAAGTACAAGGGAACTTTGTATAGAGATCAGAGGAGTAATGTGTTTTTGTGTGTGTACACAAAAAGGAGGGGAGGGGATGAGTATGTGAGTGTGTTAATGTACGTGTATGTGTATGTGTATGAGTGTGCGTATGTATGTGTATGTGTATGTGTGTGTGTGTGTGTGTGTGTGCGTGTGTGTGTGTGTTTGTGTGCGTGAGTGTATGCGCGCGCGTGCTTGTGTATATTCGAAACGGGGGACGGGAGAGGGAGGGCTGAAGATGGAGGCTGGTACAGGCACAGTAGCTTGAGATGAAGACAGGATAAATCATAATGTGCATACCTCAACAACAGCCTTCTGCAAGGCATCCTCACTACCGCTTGTCACATTCTTGTAGCCTTGCTGTGTGGCTCCGACATCAGCGCGTTTGAACTTGCAGGGATCGTGAGGTGCTGACCTGTATGGGTAGCTCTTTTCGGTATCAATACCTTTGTTGTCCATAACGTACTGGTAAGAATAGACCATAAGACCGCCTCCACAGCCTTTGTTGCCTGCAGAGAGTCACAGAGCAAAACAGAAAGATATATATTTTTTTTTAAAAATCAATCGTAAGCTTCTCAAGTACATTTGAAATTGAAATTTGGGAATGCAAGGTGGTGATGCTGATGGTGATGTTGGTGTATGTGTTTAAAGGTAAGTAAAATTGGTCTATCTGATTATTCTATGTTAATATTCATTGGCCGGTGTAACTTTTGTCTGATTTGCAGAAGTATACTGAGTTGCAAAAATTATGTCACACCCATTAAAATACGATATTTTTCCGTACAGTGTAAGAATTGCTGCAACAGTGAAAAGTATGACTTGTGTGATTTATGAGACTTCTTATGCAAGAGCAGACGAAAGAAACCATAAACCGGAAATAATACGAGGGCAAAGTGTTGAAATTGATTTCTCTTGGTCTACGTTGAATTCAACGCTTTCAACACACACAATTTGCTTTATATCACGTAGATAAAGTGTAAACACACCATATACACTATAAAATTCGGCACGTTTTAACGGTTGGGTCGTTTGTTCACCTGTTTAAAAAAAAAAACGAATGATGGGATGTGCTGACAAGACCACGCCCGACCACAAATGGCCGCAATCGGCGAAAACTCTGTCCAAACTCATCAAATCATTGTTCTGGACTGGCCTGCACGATCAGCAAGCCTTAAAAACAAACAGAACATCTGTAAGATTACCATGACTGGAGGATTAGAAACAGGCTGCACTCTCTATAAACTGGTCAGGAACTGAAGGCTGCACTTCACAAAGGTTGGCAGGGGATTCTTAAGATAACCATAAGGACATCAATTCAGTCAATGAAAAGACGTTTTGTATAAGTGATTCAAGATGGAAGATGCCACACGCAATACTGAGAAAACTTTCATTTCGATTTTACAAGGATCGGTGTAAGTAAAATTATCTCTCTTAAATAAGGAAAGACATTTGGAAATTCTTTTCATGTCATCAAAGTAGAAAATAAATAAAGTTTGCGTGTATTTCTTTAGGTTAAGTTGAATAGTAAATGAATTATTGTACTTTTAAGGTGTGTTTGACAGAACTTTTGCAACACAGTGTATAAAGCAACTTTTTAGGGAGTAATTGGTTAAAATGTCTTTTTCCTTAACAATATCAATATGTAATTAAGGTCTCAGCGCACATTTGCAAAAGCCCAAAACTGCCTTAATTGTAGTTGTACCCCCATAAAACCAAGATAGAAAGACGCGCCATGAAAAGGGGTTCCTCCGCTGTTTGAAAACGCTGCTATATCTAATTATGCACTTGCGTTTTTTTGCCAATAAACGGCATATTTGTCTCTTTCTTATTGTTCTTATTAGTTAATGGCTTAAGTGGGCTTCTTTCAGTACTTCCCTCATTTGATGCCCATTCTTTCCATGAATTTCCTGTACCTCAACCTAAAATGTAGTGGGAATTTTTGTTCGATCATCGATAATCATGTCTGATCACCAAATGAATTGCCATGGCATAACATCGAAAGTGGTTAATATATGCATGTGTAAACATGGGTTGTTTTTTTTTTTAAAGAAAGCAAAGTCAAAATAAAGTAGCATAGATTTTATTTAAAAAGTGCAACAGAGTGACAATAACAATAAGAGTGCTTTTATAAGGAGACCTATTTTAAGATCTTTGATAAAACACACCACACATCATTTCATTACAAAGAAAATGACGACAGTTTAATGCATATTAAATTATCTGAGAAAAATCTAACAATAAAGCACATGATGTGACATACTACTTCTATATATCTAAACGCCGTTTTCGTCTGATAGATGTACAACGACTTCTCTGATGAGTGACAATCAGTATTTATATCAAACATAATTATCAATGCGAATAATGCGTAAGGGATGATGATGATGACGATGATGATGATGATGATGATGATGATGATGATGATGATGATGATGATGATGA